TTCCAAGTGAGCAAACTACAGCAGAGCTGTCCTTGACTAAATGCAACATACCTGGATGTCAGTTCCACAGGCTGGCTTAAGACTGTTGGCTGTAGATGAGACAAATCCCTTGCAGCGTATAGATTAGTGCTATATTTGTCATTAGGAATCAAGCATGCGAATTTTAGCATCAAAGGTACAAAAGCCCAGCACTTGAACAGCAACAGGATCTCTTACACTGCCAGCTTGAGCCATCCAAAAGTTACAGACAGGTTCCCATATTCATAAACTTGTCTTTAAATAAAAATCACTCCATGAGATATGATTTTAATAACACATTTGGGGTTGATTGTATTTACCTTCTGAAGTTTTAACCACTGCGGTCCACTTCCAAACATTTTCACAACAGGAAGGCTCAGAACGTGTTATTTTATATTATTTTTCAAATGAAAGCTGAGGTTCCTATGCATTCATCTTAACTCCAGGAGCTGTGTTTTTTAAGGCACACACCAAATGTCAAGAGACTCACAATAAAATCACAAGAATTGGCAATACAGTCTTCGCTGGCTTTGGGGAATAAGCAGGTTGTTGTTGGAGCCACACATTAGAGGGAGACATACTCACATGTTCTTAACCAGTGAATTATGCACAGAGGTATAATGGCATTCTGCCCAGCACTGACACACAGCAACAAGAACAGGATGCACAAAATTCCCAGGCCTCTTCAGCTAAAGGAGAAGCTTTGTTAGTCTCCCTAACAAGGGAACCAATGACATAACTTGCCATAAACATGTTGGGACTATTATATCCACAGACATGAGATATATTTAAACTATAAAAATCCATTTAATAACCAAGAAGACAGCTGCGTAATCTGCACATTACACTCACAAAAAGGAAATAAAAGTAAAATGAACTGGAACATGTGTGTCTGGAGAAAGAGAGAGAGAGGGAGAGAGAAAGAGAGAGGCCTAATAACCATTCAAAGAAATTCTTCCAGGGCCTGCTGCAGCAGGAAAGTACTCATTTCCACCATTCTCTTTGGTTCTTGGTAGGAACCATTTTTTGAAAACTTTTTAAAAAAGTAGAATGGTCCAAACACTAACAATGAGACATTTTGCTTAACACCTGGTAGCGTTATACAGGCTTGTAAAGTTTTCAGATGAGAGTAAGAAACTGGGAGCAGGACTTTTTTTCCTCCATCAAATCAAATGTGTACACATCTCTGCCTGCATTAGCTAGGTACCATCACAAGATAAAGTCCAATGAAATCAGTTAATTGCTCTGTATTTTCCATGCACTGAAGTGCAAATATTATAGCTGCAGGCACAATATGGCAGAAAAGAAGTATCTCTTCTTTTATCCATCTATCTCTGCCTTTGGCCTTAAAGACTTTGTTGATTTATTTGTTACGTGAAAACTGATTCAAACTCATTTACATAGGACTGTGCTTACAGTGTGCGGGGGGGTACTTTTGAGTATGAAAGTTTGGATAAATCGTATCACTTATGCTTTCTCATCTCTATAAAGGGCAGGTTTGACTGCATAATAAGTCACTGAGGTTTTGTCAGGATCAATTTACATTTGTCAGATGCTCTGCAATCTTTACAGGAAAGTTGTAAATAAGGGCACTGCACCAGTGTTTCATCTTTTTAAATGTTATGATTTACAGCTCATAGAAAGATGGGATGAAGAGGCAACGGAGTGCTGTATTTCTCTCCCAGTTCCAAGTGTTGATCTTCTCAAGAGAGGAACCAGTGCACAAAACCTTACAATATCTGTCCCTCATACCAAAATAGAGATTGCAAAAAACCCTCTGATGTGCTTAAAAGTCTGCATCTAATTTATGGATAATTTACAATGGAAACAGACTATATAAAAATGTATACAAATTTGTAGCCTTGCACATTGGGGTAGATAGATAGTTTAACTAAGAAATAATGAACATGAAGTGTCTCTTGTGAGCTGCCAGGTAGACATTTTGATTGCCCAGATTTCATTAAACTCAAACCAGAGAGAGTTTGAAGTCTTCCAAACATTCTTTAACTCTATCAAGTGTGTCGGTACTCTACAGCCGATGACAATATATTTCACCAGAGTTGCCAAAAAATTGTTTAATTTTAAGCGATGCCTGTATTGCATTACTTCTTACAAGCTGAGCCAACATGTAGGGCATGATCAACTCTGTAGAAGAATAAGCCCGTTGCCAATGTTTTCTTTGCATCCAAAAAGCCAATTTCACACGGCCATTCCTTAAAACAAGAAGAGAGACAACAAAAACAATAAAACCTCTATTGTGTCCTTCTGTCCTCTAGCCCTTGAATCATCTTTGCTTTTCCCAACTATGCCAATTAGACTCAAGCAAATGAAGAGTTACAGAGAACATCTATGCTGCCAAGAGCTATTTCCAGTGGACTTTGATCAAATGATGCTGTAATCCCTAATGGGAAGCATACTTCATTTATAAGGTATTCTTTGGTGTCATTCCCAAGGAGCCGGCATAGGAGTTTTTTGCGCAGCAGAGCTTTCTCTACAGTAAGCAGTGTAATTGTGACAGGATAGCACTACCATGTTCAGCTTCAGTGTACAGGCCTGCCTAGATAAGTGTGCTTTCAGCGTCAGTCATTTCTATGGTCAGAAAAGGCAGAGGTGGTCAGACAGACAGAAAGCTAAATCTTAGTGCTAGAATTTCTTCAGTCTTAGCTCTTCACCCTGCAGCACCAACTAACACACAGCAGGGTTTTTGTCTTTTATCGTTTCCAGTGGGGAACACAACAAAAGGCTGTTCTGACATTTGCACTTTGCTGCAACTCTGTTGAACGTGAAAGACTTGGGTTATTTGGAACTGTATTTTATTTTCACTGAAGTTTTATTCCAAGACTAAGGACAATTAGCTCACATTTTAACAAGGAAGCAATTAAAGAGCATGACATTCATAAAAAAGATTTATTATGCTATTAAATTAGGATGAAAATCATCAAAGTTCATAATAGCCAAAGAAAAACAAATATAAATTATCTTCATACTTAGTTTGTACCCTGATGCTTATCAGCCTGAAATGCATGTATTTATTCTCCAGTGCTGCTGTGCAATTTCTGTCACTGCCTCTCACTGTTTTGAAAACTCAACGTTTTCTTTCTGTGCTGAGTAGCAGTCCTTTAAATTGTAAAGGTTTAAACAGCCCTGGTCTGCTTAAAACTTCCTCTAAAAATAATCTGAGCTTTCTAAGTAAAGGCATTCCATGAATCCCCAGGCAAACATATTCGAACCACGTGTTCTACTGGACAGCAGAAGAGCTTCTTGCACCCCACATCCTTCTGCTGCTTCCATCTGTCCAGCTGTCCATTTATTGCCGGCCTTCTAAAAAAGTCCACTCTAACTAGATGGTAAAAAACTTCACATCACTCTCTTCCTTGTGCCTTTGCCTTTTTCATTGACTTTTCAACTGGTTTTACGTACAAATCAAAAAGATTAAGATGTTTTCACTGAAAAGGCAGTTTCAGACTAACACACTGCTCCCGTTTTTATCCCTAGTGTATTTAAACATATCGTAGGTATCTATTTTTTACAAGATATAAATATGCTAATAACTCCACAAGGGAAAAAGAAACAATGAGAACACATATTCAGGTGGTAGCATTATGGAATTAGAGATCAGGAGCTATCTCTGCCACTGGCTGTCTCTGCGATACTAGGAAAGAAATAAGTTTTCTGTGCCTTAGTTGTATTGTTATTAAAGTAGGGAAATATTAACTCCTTCAATGGATTCCTGGCTGGAAAATATTTGGTAACTTTCTACAAAGAAGAACTATGTCCTCTGAGCTAATCAAGGTTTTCCAACCAATCAAGGTTTTCCTTTCATACTAATATATAAAAGTTCCTTTTAGTATCTTTCTGCTCTTCACTGGACTGGCATCTTTCATAAAAATCCTTCCTGCACGTCACTGCCAACTCCTTATATTTTGACCAGAGAACAGGCTTCAAAGGCTGACAAAAGCTGTCTCCTCACAACAGGTCCAGCCTGAATGAAGTTTAGGGACGCCGCCACACTATCAGAGGTTGCAAGCCTGCTGCCCTTATGGATGTTACGAGATGATGAGAAAACTCACCTGACTAAGAATTGCACGTAGGCCCCCTGACCAGTGAAATCATCAGAAAAATCTATCACTAAGTTAATAGGTGAGAACTAGTTCAGATAACCTGTGCTGCTATCCAGAATCTAAATTTAAAGCATGTGGGAAAGCAGTCCTCTGAAAGCGAGTGCCTCAGTCACTGGAAAGATTCCTGACTTGGATGCCTAACCTTCATTGCAGCAATGGAATTCATCATACATTTAATTTAAGGGAATTCTTCATCTACTTAACTACACGTTAAAGCGATTTACTTGAATTGGGGCCCACGTTTTAAAGACATGTCTCTGTTATCTGAATACTGTTTCTCTTACTATAACTTGTTAAACATATTTTTAAAATTTGAACTCTACAGTTTGCAAGTAATTTTCATAGACTTCTTTAAAAGGTCCATTCATGACTTAGACAGTCATCATGCACTATCACACCAATGCAAAGAACGTTTGTAAGACCATAAGTACATCTGTCTCCCAGAAAAAAAAATTTTTTTGTAAAGTATTTCAATTTACCATTTCCTTAGTAAATGATCCTTACTTATTTGAAAAAGGAAAGCATTAAATGTTCTGCCTCAATGATGAGTTTTAAATAGATATTTTCAATAAATTATCCTGACTGAGCTGCCTGTCAAGATAATGGTATAAATTGCTACTTCCATCTACATTTACAAACTGATTTAAACAACTTCGGTTAAGACTCAGACAAAAGTTAAAAGAATTTGATGTAAATCAACAATAAGATTAGTGTTCAGATCTCCTTTAACAGAGAGGCTGTGCCCCAGCTGAACAGACTCATGTTTCATTTTCTTTTCTGCTTTTGCTTGAACTTCCCCATTTGAACTTTGTTTAAATTAAAAGTACAAGAGTGACATTAAATATATAATGAAACATTTCCAGAACCTCAGGTACTGTGTCTTAAAAGCTTGCATTCACAGAATGAAGAACTGAATTGTACATACAGGAAATGTGTTCAAATGCTGAAATGCCTGAAGAAACGGGACTAAATTAGGGATTTTAGAGTGAATAGTTTTTACATGACATGAGTTTAAAATTTACATAGGAAATACCTTCTGAGGCAAAAGTATTATTGATTTTATTAATGAATTTCTACCTCATACAGCAAATGTCACTCTTTTTAGTTTTTAATTTCCCTGCTATAATTTTTTTTTATTATTATTTCCTTGCTGTGTTAACTTTAGTTCAATTTTTATATCATTTTGGTATTATAGTGATCTCCATTATATTTGGTTTATTGTTGAAAGGATTTTAGGTCTTCTAACACTTTTTTGCTTTTTTAATTACTTTATAGCAATTTGTAGAAGAAAGGAACGATAATAATTTGGATATGTTAGCAGTATTCTTCTAAAATACGATTAAAAGCCTTGAAAAATGTTGACATACCTCACTATTCTGTTTTGTTCTGCTTTAAATATCGGTGTATTTATTAAAGCTGGTTGGAAAAAATTTAATCATATATACTATTTTTGTTTTTCATCAGATTTGAATTCTTTCCAGGTTCTTCAGGACTCTCATTTTTCTACACGTCTCAGAAAATCTGTATTAAATGAGGTAGGATTTATTCCAAGTTGCCCAGTGCATATCTTCAAAGAAATATGTGATGTATGTATCTTTTACAATAACTTATTATGTAAATAGTTATTAATATAGATTTGCTGGGAAAAGATTACTTTAAAAAATGTTAATGTCTTTTAAAATGCTGCATGAGAGACATTTCAACAAACGTGGTGAATATCTTGAGTTACAGTTCATATAATATTTTATATTCACCGGATTTATCTCGTAAGGTATTTTATCATATTTTGTTGTGGATACGTGTTATCATCTGTTACATTCCATAGCTAGAAATTAATTCCCCAAGGGCAAGATTTTGTCTTTTTAAATTGCCACATGATACATGATTCTTCACTGAAAATAATCTGGTTCGTACGTGTAGTGCAAAATCATCTGCATGGAGAATGTGGATGCTCAGACTCTGATCTCACAGCTCTCGGCACAGAGGACAGACTGCTGTAGTCACCCGTAGCTGTGCTGAAGCCCGTGGCTCTGATTCAGGACCCACACAAAGAGCTGGAGCAGGATTAGGACCAGTTCAGTAATCCTGAATAATCAGGTCACAGTCAGTAGGAGTTTGGGGTGCAAGGACTTTAATAATAAACTTACAGGTGATTCTTAGACATTAAGACCTGAAGGCATCCTCTTCTGCCTCCGACTTTAGGGACTTAATTCAGACTTCTAATTTCACAGCCTAGTCACTGTAAATTCCCACTATGAACCCTAAACAGAGATAAGCTTCTTCACCACTTCTAGAGAAGAGCTGAGCTAAGATCCGACTTTTTGTCTGAAAGACCTAACCTCTCTACCAATTGTCACAAAGGAGTGCAACACGAATGGTTACTTAGGTGCTTCAAATAATTTTCTAGAGGCAGGCAGAACGAATCCAGGCACAGATGTATTGCAAGAATAGTGGCACAGCTGGGTCATGGATTTTGCCAAAGATATTTATTATAAGAGTGTTTATATACTTTAAACCTGGAAAAAACAGCACGTTAGATATAGGCTTCAACATTTTTTATCCTCTGAATAGATTTCCCATCCATTTCTTCTGTGGTAGCCCAAGATAAAGCCTGGATGAGCCGTGCATTTAAATACACACAGGCTGAAGCCCACAAACAGTCCTACTGGAGTCAATGGACTTGTTAAACAGGATTATTTGGCATGTGCATATTGAGCATAATGAGGCGCAGGACTTCAAAATGGTGTTGTTCAAATGAGGGCCGGAGGGTCTGAAGGCAGATGGCAGCAGGGCAGCAGTTCAGTTCCTCCAGGTGAGAGGGGTGAGGAATGGTTGTCGTTACTGTTTGAAACTGCTCCTGCTAACTATGGAGCTCCTAACTATCTCTCATTGCTTGAAGCTGCCCAGATCTCCCAGGTAGGGGGCACTACAGTCAGTAATTATAGTGATTTCTCCCTTGTCAAAGGAACTGAGCTGCTGCAGCATCACATAGGGTCATTCCAACAGAGAGGATCTTCTCAAACGTCTAAAAACCTTCAGAAATCCTGTTTGAAATTTTATTTTAGTTTGATTCTAGGAGGAAGAAGACAAGTCATGCAAGGGCAAAGACAAACAACCTCAAACAAATTCAGGGGTGCAAAGAAGGAAATGGCGATTATCTTTGTCTCAAAGTTTGAAGACTGTAAATTTGTTCAGGGCGAAAGTGTGCCGGAAGCCAATGCCTGTGCTCTGACATAGTTTAACATAACAATACAGACAGGCCCAGAGGCTCTTCTCCGCCCCCCCCCACACACACATTCACTAACCATTTGCTAGTTACCAGACTGATCTAGAGCAGGGTCCTTTTCCCGTCTACACAGGAGTCAACAGCAGTTAGGCAATAGCTTATTACACCTCATAATAGCTTATTACAGTACATATCAATAAAAAGATAGAGTTAATGTTACCAAATAGTCAAGGGTTTCACTTTGCAGCATTAATATTCTTCTAATTCTGGAGGTTTCAAGCCACATAAAAATTACCTGGTCAATGCACTTTTGTGGTATCAGGGAAGATATGTTTGTCATTTCTTTGCAATATCTTCATATTGAAACATGATCGGGGTCATCGGGAAGAAAAGTTATCAAGAAATAGATCCCATCTCAAGGGTACCATCACCTCTTTTGCAGTAGTTGTGGTTTCCTAACCCCACCTTTATCCAGTCCGAGGAAGGGCGCTAAGCTTGACAAGCATGTTTCTTATCAGACGATCGGGGTATTTGTTAAACAATAAAATCAAACAATCTTTTTGCATGGAAGACTGTGTCGAAAAGTGGCTTTCCTTTTATAAAGTGGCCTGAGTCTCTTTCAGTCATGTCTGCTTTCTATATGTGATCATTGCAGGGGAGGGCAGGGAGTCTAAGTGATTCAGTGCTTGGAACCTAATCCAAGACTCAACAGCTTGGATCATCATCATATGGAGAAGCAGGAGGATGACAGGAGATTCCACTAGCAGAATGCCTCAGATTGTTTGCCCTTGCACTTTGATCCACTTTACGCTTCCTCTCATGCCAACACTAGCAGCAACCGGCAGCTTTGAAACACTGGAGTTTTTGTGTAGTTCTTGCATATTATTTTACTACAATTTGTTGTCTAAAAAAAAAATTTTTTTTCTCTTTTTTTTTTCTCTGTGGTGGTTAGGAAAGGTGTGCCTGTGAAAATAACACTGACGACAGATTCAGTTCAATTAGCTGGGGAATTATACCTATGGTATCCAACTACTGTAGAATCATGGAATAAATTAGGTTGGAAAGGATCTCTGAAAGTCATCTTGTCAAAATGCCCACTCAAAGCTTCAAAGTTAGATCAGGCTGCTCAAGGCTTTGTCCAGTGAAGTTTTGAAAACCTTCTAGGATGGAGATTGCACAGGCTGTCTGGGCAACTTATGCCACTGGTTAATGGGACAGCTTATGTCAGTGTAACCACCGATTACAATTTTTTCTTCCTTATATTCGGTCAGAATTTCCCTTGCTACAGAGAGCGGCCATTGACTCCTGTCCTTTTGCTATGCACGTCTGAGAAGAGCCTGGTTCTACCTTCTCTATAACCCTCCTTTAGGCAGTTGGACACAAAAGTTAGATATTCCCTTAGTCTCTGTTCTTCAGGTCGAGCAAACACAGCTCTCAGCTTCTCCTACATCATGTTCTCCGGCCTTGGCACCATCCCCTCACAGCCTTGGCTAAACTCAGTTTGGTTTATCAGTCTCATTCCTGTGCCAAGGGGCACAAAGCTGGACACAGTACTCCAAAGGTGGTCTCACAAGTGACAAATAGAAGGTCCCTCAACCTGTTGGTTACATTCCAGCTGATACACCCCAGTACACTGTTGTCTAGCCTTTGCCTTCACAGCCTTCTGTATTTTGAGCGCTCATTAATATTGAATCAGCAGAAATCCGTTCCCAATGTCAGGATGCAGAAAACTTGAATAATTCTACATAGCCCCATTAAACGTCATGGAGGCTTCACAGGGACTCAACTGATCAGAGCAGAGGTAGGTTCAGAGATCAGCTGCAGAACAGAAGGGCAGAAGTCTCCCTGCAAAGGAATATTAACAGGTCTTGATGTTGGCTTAGTCAGAATTTTACATCTCATTGCCACAAAGGCCTGGAAGGGCCTTTTTCCCTGCATATAAATATCATTCAGATATATGTTATCTGAACATTCAGATATATGTTCAAAAATATCATTGCCATCATTTAATAGTGGGGGTGCAGGCAAAAACAACCCTTGCACATAGCTTGCTATGAAGATGTCCCTCTTAGCATTTGTTTTCTTCATGTCTCTCTAACACAGGGTCCCAAAGACAGCAGAGAGCATATTCTAGGTAGCAGAGAGCAGCTGAGACAAGGTAACAGTCTTTATTTAAGCTCTTCTTCCATGTTACTGGCTTGGTTTCCTGCTGGGCAGTAGCCTCTCTTTGGAATCTGGGCTCAGCCTGCAATACCATTGAGGTGGGTTTGGTGGAGCTGCAAAATAACCCCACTCAGATGGGGGTTAACACCTGAAGATGCTCAGCTGTTTCCCACAGTGAGTGCTGTCAGTCAGCACTTCCGCTATATGCAAACATGTGTGCTTTTTTGGATAGGGCTGCTGTCAGCCCAAAACCACAAAGAGCCCTGAGGAACACACTGTGGTGGTCCGAGAGTTGTGAAAAGGGAGAGAACGCAGGCCTGCACTGGCAGGGGCCAGTAGCAGGATTTATCTTCCTTACCCTGCCACAGAAATTTCCTCCACAGAGATCCCTCAGCAAAATCTGGCCATCTTATGACAACATGGCCCAAGCCAGAAATTCTTCCTCAAAGGGAAAGTATATCCCTGACCCACAGTGCTCCCATTGGGCTCCCCAGTTCAGACCAGGGTCGTGAGAGGTGTTCACTGCAAAACATACAACTCTGGCGTTTTCAAAAAGAGGAAAAGGGAGACACCTAATGGGAACAGGCAAAAAAAGCACCCACAGAAAAAACGCACCAGGGAAAGGAAAGCGTGGATGAAAGGCAAAGACCTGCAGTTTTGTCTCGACTGGCCCAGAGAGGTGGAAAGGCACTTGGGAAGAGGTAAGCCTGCAAGGTGCTGAGGGCCTTGCTGCCATGACAGCCCCTGCCAGCCCTCACAGTTATCTTGAAGCCTGCCTGGATTGGACAGGAGTCTCTGCTTTCACAGCAGAAAGCCTACTTCTGTGAGACGCCTTGTCAACACTGCTTGAAGCAGCACTAAGGTCTGGCAGCAGACAATACAGGTGCTACTTCTATGGCAAAGGACAGCTTCCACTTACCTGTCATGCATGTAGACCCCAACCCTGTGTCTGACTTGAAAGTCTTCATATACTTCCTAAAAATTGCTCAGACGAGGTGGACCAGAGTCCTAGGGCAGAAGGGCTTTGCAGGCAGTCCGAACTCACTGCAGACAGCAGAGCCTGGCCAGCTTAGGTGCAACGGACGCACAGCCACTGCAATGGAGGAAAAGACTGCAGCTGTGACACTGCAGCTGTGGCACTACCACTTGGTTGAAGCACCTTGGCAGCACTGTCAGGAGAGCAAAGAGAGCAAAAGCCACCCCCAAGCCTAGGACAACTACTGCTCTTAACGCTACTCTTCGAAAATATGTTCAGCCAAATCTACCCTCGTCCTGCCCTCACACAAAAATAACAATGTCATGATCACAGGTTACAACAGTATTGTCTACCTGGATAACTAAGGGAGAATTAGTACCAACATTGTTTAGGGTAGCAGTCCCCATACCCTCAAGGCAACAAAACAGTCCACTGCCAGCAGCTCTGTACTTTGCCCTCCTCTTCACTCTGGACCATGAAGGCAACTGCTTGTGACCTAAGTCATAATGAGAGCAAGGGAAATCTGATAGGTTCTCTACGAAACCCAGATCGATTTTTCTAGACCAGCAACAAATTTAACTCAACGTTTTCTGGCATTAGGAAGGTCACATAAGCTGCCAGCAATTTGAGACAAATAATCCACTGATCATCTTTCCAAACTGACATTTGCTCACTGGAAAACTGAGCCTAGCAAATTATAGCTGTTCTAGAATCATTTTGCAAGCACTAACCATTAATCCATAATGACTGTTCTGAGGAACAAGTATTACTCACATTTTATAGATAAAAAAGAATTGAAGTTATCCCCCTGCTCTTCACTCCTTGAGGAGATCTGGAAGGCTGTGGCTCACCAGGCTGACAGAAATACCACATGCTCCCCAGACAGTGAGACAAGAAGAACAATTAGCAAGTGATTCCAAGTGGTAGATCACCTCAGCAGCCAAACAGATAAGTGTGGAGATCTCGTAAGAGAAGAAAGTAGACATGCAAATCAGAAAGTGAAATCAGAAAGAAATCTCACAGATCACTGTTAATGACAGCTGCTCAGCAAGGAACAAAGTGCTTCATACTGGGCATGGGTTGAAGCCCATGGTTGTCCATGCTGGCTGTCATCTTAGACAGATGTACGTTGTTAGCTTGCCAGGGATTTCAAGCCTTTGTAGTCCTAACCCATGTTGCGGTAACTCGAGATAGGAAATAAAAAGCAATCTCTTACCAGCATTCCTGGATGCGCTTCAGGGTGAGAGCAATCTACTCTCTGGCCAAACAGTGCCTATAACAGTGTGACTCTCAGGAACATGAGTGAAAATGTGACTCAGCAAGTTCTGAACTCAGCTGGATTTTGGAGACAGCAGTTGGTGTCTGACACAGAGGCAAAATACCGTCAGCTGGCTGATAACATCTGGCTTCCATGGGAGGCAGCTTCCCCATCTGCATGACTTGCAACAAGAGCAGGTGCAGGCACCTGTTGGGAGGAGAGGGAGTATGGGGGAGACATTGTGGTAGGAAGTGAAGAGATAATGGAGAGATATTGTAATAAGACATGGCAGATATATAATATAGGTATTAGGATATTCAAGAAGAAGAATATGGCGAAGTAAGTAAAATAGGGTTCCTCTGAGGGAGAATGGGACAGAAAAAGGACACATTAGGATCGAGCATTTTAGGAGGAAGCAGGGGAGCTATGGTGATAACAGGCTGCTATCTATAGGAATATCAATATCTATAAAGGCTGCTATAGGAATATCAATGAAATATCTAACTCTAACACAGTCACATTTTTTTCTTGGCTCTTGCCTATGAACGGTGGGATATGCTTGGCATAGGACACTAGAGACCAATATAAATAGTAACAGGAAGGTTAGAAAGTAGATGTGGGTTCTGTACACTTGGGTTCTGGGAAGTAAGTAGTTATAAGTTTAAATCTTATTGAAATAAACGAGATTATTAAGCAAAGGCTTAGCTGCTCTACTGAATGGAGATGCATTCTTGAATCAGACCCTTCACTGCTCTGTCCTTTAGATCTCAAGAAATTATGTTAATTATATGTGTTCCCTTCCCAAGACGTTCGTGACAAGGCTTATAATTACCAGATAGATAGAGCTCTGAACCTCTGAGACCCCAGTTCTGCCACTAGTGGTCATGACAAATAGTTTATTTCCTTGAAATAGCCTCCAACTACTTCAGCAAGACTACTGCTGAATACTACTACTCATCAGGCAAAAGATAACAGACTCTGGTCTTAGGCTGCCAACTCCTTCATACCAAGACTTTATAGACAACTCTGAAAACAACCGTCATGCTGGCATCCCAGGCACTGTAAGAGCGTACACTGGGTGCTCCACCACTTCCACCCACACGGAAAAAAGTCACATACATTCACTGGCTAGAAAATAAACCCATGCAATCAAATAGCAGAGCAAAGTGGGGGAAAAGCTAGACAAATTAAATAGATGGATCAGATGGATTCCAGCCCTCCCTGAAGATCACTCCATTCAGGGTCTGCTGAAGAGAAGGCGGGAGCAGAGTCGTTTCTCCAGAGAGAGTGGCAAGCTACTAGCCTCTTGTCAATTAATCCTGGGGAGTAACAGGCCAGAGAGAACACCCCACAAATTGTAAATGTGGTGATGGGGCATTGGGGTATATATACGCATCATTAGTCATCGATAAGAATTTTGTTTTTGTAACCTCTGCATTTTTATCTGTCACTTCTAGCAATAAATATGCACTCTCGCCAGTGATTTGACATTACACTTGCTTTGGATGGTTGCCTTTCCCAAATATTAATAGTAACTCATTGTGGACACAGCATTGGTATTTAGTTAGATCAGACCAGCTTCTTTTAAAAAACAACTTTTCGTATAAAGAGAACAGATGTTTTTAATTTACACAAAGAACAAAAACAAAGTTCTATTGTTCAGTTATAGTGAACACAAACATTACAGGCACACAGAAATTAACACCGATAGCACATTAAAAAAAATTAAAAGCCCATCATTTTACAGGTCCACTTATTTGCGCTTTTTCCACTACTTTAATAAATTAATGGCACGCAATGATAACAAATGTTGCTCTTTGGAATTCATATGAATATGAGTGTGGCATATTTTAAAGATAAAAATGGCATAAACATAAGGGCACTTTCTAAACACACATTATACAGACAATAACAATAATAATAGTTTTATAATAACAAACTAGGAATGTAAACTCTTACAGTCCAGGGTATAAGCCAACTACTAGCTCATGGGGATAGGAAGAAATTGCCTCTTTGAGCAGATAATTGTTTCAACAATCTATATGAGCAAGTGATTCCAAGTATCTATAATTGTTCCTTACAGGGATATCAGAGATAAAGCTTATTGTCATGCACATTTTGCACCCAGTGAACCTGCAGCTTAGATATCAGATTCTCAGCTTCCCACAAGGCATAAATCTCCCCACTGAAAAGCATCTTCTCCAGCACCACTTGATGATTTTCTTCATGATTCTGTCTAACTCTTAAGTCACGATCTAGGGCAGTCATTTATAGGTTTAGAAATACCGATATACCAATATTTCTATCAGTATTTCAGATTCCTTAGTCCTGCAGATGCAGGAAGACAAGGAGGGTAGGCATTTGCATTCATGCCTGGCTAGGCTCTCCAAGGCTTTTGCGTTTCCCTCAGTTTCTAATTCGAAGGCCAGCCAGACCACTGCAGCCCACCCTCTCAGCTGCTGCACTGGGGCTGCCGTTCACTTCCAGCAATCAGATCACTTACAGAAAGCTGAAACAAAGCATGGGAAGGAACTGGGCCCTAAGAATAACATATAGCCAACTTTGCCCCACTCTGGGACCTTTTCCCCCTTCTTCTTGCACAGGGGCAGATGCATGCATACCATGAAGGCGCACTAATGCTCAAAAAGATCGCAATACCTGCTCAGTCACCCAAGGACAAGAGACAGAGGAAAGATTGAATACAGCTATACAGCTATACACTAAAACATTCTCGTCCTGCCTAATGGTTTCTAAGCGATACTATCCTGCTTCACTATTCCTTCCTTTATGTTGGCTTTTCTCATCTATATATAGCAACAACTTTGCTTTTAGTATATTAAACCAGACTTCACCCTCTTTCCTTTCCCGTTTACTCTTCACCAGTCAAAAGCTTGTCCAAGAATGGGTGCCATTTTACTCTATCCCACAGTCAGACTATGTGTTGAAGCATTAAGCTTACTTAAAATCATGATGTTGGACCTAGTGAAAAAAAATCCTTCCCTCTATTTTAATCTGTTGGAAAACAAAGGAGAAAAGTTATAATTAAAGGATTTGGGAAAGAAAAATAAAAAGTCTCTTTCTGCAGCATTCAGGTAAGCTGGAAATTTCAATGCCACAGAACAACAGAATGATAGACACTATGACTCAAAGTATTGGATCCTTTTTCCACCACTAAAAGCAAGCCTCACTGAGAGAGGTGCTACATATATGCTGCTCCAAGTAGCCTTTTTTAAACTTTCAATCACTTTATATAATGCAAAACACAGTTCCAGACCTCTGCTGGAAAAAAAAAAAAAAGAGAAACCAAAACATTACATTCATACGGTACCTTTCAATTCAGAAGAACCCAAATCATGAATCATCTTATCCACCACAGAATGCCATCACCTCAACACCAAAACACAGCAGCTGTTTATTAATCTACAAGAACATTAGGACGGGTGCTCTTATTCAGTCAAAACAGCAAGGCAAATTGAGTAGACAAAATATAATAACCTGGAATGCACAAGCCTACCCTCCCTACCTTTATAACGAGCGCCAGAGGGACTGTAGGGACCACGAGCAGCTGATACTTCCAGCTGCCCAATGTTAACAACGCTTTCTGCAGCAGCTAAGTGATCCTGGGAGGCCAAAAGGATTTGACCTGGACTTGCATTGCTTTGCTTTGCTTGGTTGACAATGAGGCCAATAGCTGGCTATCGTGCACTGACCACAATTGCTATGTCACATCCAAAGTCTTGTCTTGTCTGCCATATTTAGCACCACAATGCCAGAAACAAAGTAATCTTGAAGCTCTGAGTGCTCCGAAGATCCGGAAATCCATCTCCCTACTGCTTGTGCAAAAAAGTGGGCTAATTGCAGTCATGTACCTGTCCTGATGGCTGGCTTGCTCTTGATTAATAAATTGCAATAATGCTTTCACAGACATGGCTCCCTCAGACTTTGACTCTCAGTATCTCAGAAAGATGCTACATGGCTCTTGGAAGCTGCTTATCAGAATTGGAACAGTTTGCTATCCAAGTATACTGAAGTTTTCACTCAAAATTCAAAATCTCATTGTTACACCACACTCATCACTGTGGTATCTGAATAGCTGAATTTCCAGCTGAATTCCAGTCACAGCTGGATTCAATGAAGAGTCACTCTGAGTCCCAGCAAAGCAGAATTAACATAGGCCAGGATCACGCAGTAAGTTCTCTGTGGGCTCACCAGAAGTTTGTTACAGAAGTTGGACCTTGGATCCTACTGAGGGGGAGACGTTCTTGTGGCCAAAGGCCGTTATTTATGAGATAGCTGAAGTCCTGTGGCTCTGCTCCAGAGCACTTACATAAGAGTGCCACCGTTTCCCTGTTGTGTAAAACGAACATGCCTGTCTCACAAGGACAGTTGTGTGGATACTGCCATTACTGCAGAAGTCCTTAGAGAAAGAAGGATAGAGAAAGGAAAGCTGATTATGCTACGTCCTTACTGACTTTTGTTAATCATGAAGCAGCGCAAACTATACCGTAAAAGCAATCTCATTTCTACAGCACAGCTCCGTTCACACACGTAAATGGAAGTAAGGTAAGGTTGTAACTGCATAAGGATTGGCTGGGTAACACCCCAAAATGGAGACCAGAAGATTAAACCCCAGGTTGCTAAGCCTGCAATGTCAGCCTTCCTGTATTTTTACCCCACTGTAACTCATCCTTGCCACACAAGCTGTATTTTTAGCTTACCGAGCCTCTCAGCCTTTCTGCTTCCCAGGGCATCTCCAGTCATAGACACAATGGCTGGCTCTTCCCAGCCAATCTGTTTGGCCATTTACTGACCAGACCTGCATTTGGTCTGACTGATCCAGTAATATTGGCGCACTTCTGAAAACATGATGTCTCACCAAAACACTTTCCGATAATCAAACAAATCAAAGGGCAAGCTAACTGGATCCATGAAAGTGAAACACGTATCGGCCAGAGAACTGCTGTTATCTCTGGCGTGGCTGGGTCATTAGGACCTTTCACAGTAAAAAAACAATATATTTATTTCCTACATGGACCCAATTAAAATACCTCAGGGAAAATGCTGCACGTGCACTTGAGACCTGAAGTCAAAGCTACCCAGCCAGCCTATAGGGAACGTAATTGTTTCCCAGGGGTTGATGGAAAGTACTGAGCACCTCCTGCTGCACTCATTTCAGTTAGGCTCAGCAGTAACATCTGACCTTGTAAACACCTGGAAGAAGGGTGCTCTGCCCTTCTGGCTGAGTGAGAGGGACACTGCCTCCCACTGCAGAGAACTCAGATAACGGTGGAGGGCACTGCATGATTCAACCCAGGCTTCCCTCTGCGACAGGAGGCTTCCCTCCTGATTCACACAAAAGGTTTGAAGAAGACAGACTAATCTCTTCAAAAGGTTGGCTATACTTTTCCTCCCGAGTCCGACCAAGTCGCCTCTCCGTAGCTAGATCAGCTTTACTTCAAAGTGAGGAGGAGTCTGCTGTACACGCACCGGTCTCTGGGGACATATGGAGGCTATGGGTTACTCAGTATGCAGGTAAAGAGTCTTTGATTTCTGCCTCTTTTGTTTCCCACCTTGATCTGTTTTTCTCTGCTCATCCCATCATTTGTTTGTACATTTATACTGCAGGACCTGGCTGTTTTTCTTGTTGTTCTCACTGGGACAAGGGAGGAGGATGGCTCCCCCAGGTTAGTCAAACATGATAAAAGGATAGTGGGGAGTAGCAAGAATAGTTCTCAAGGGAGAAATAGGTAATTCTACTCAAAATGGGATGTGCCTCTCCTCTAGTCTCCAGCCCCACTGGCTCATCTGTTCTCTGTGTGCTTCCACCAGGTTTTGTAGAAAGCAGTTGCCACTCCAGGATTTTTTGGATGAAACTGAATAAACTCTTGCTCCAGGGAAAGTTCTTCCAGCTGGAAATCAATGGTGAGTCACAAAGTGGTTGCCCTGAGCAAGATGAAGGCTGGAGTACCATCTAAGTGTGGTGCCTATGAGCTGGATGCTGCTGCCATCTACGCGTTAGTTGATAACTTACTCTGAAAGAACCAGCAGAACGTCCTTGCTGCCCGCACCTGCCCTATCACACTGAATTTGGCCAATATTCCTACAGAGAAATAGCTTATAAGCAGGAAAGCTTATATCTACAGCCATAGTCCCCTTTGCCCCTTCTGTCTAGTATGCCTAAGGAAAGGAGAAAGGACTGTTCAATAAGGAAGAACTGGCATATGGGTTTTATTGTTTTCTCTGCTGAGACCTTACCCTGCTGAGACCTTACACATGTCTAGCTAGGAAAATATAAGGGAAATTGTAGCTTGGGTACATCCTAGACAGCACAGGTGACATCAGCAGCATATGCTGAGTAATACCCGGAAAACACACTCTCAATGAGTGCTAGGTAAGCACTTTAGCAGTTACAAGATTTTTTTCTGTTTTATTTAACATCACAATGGCAGTGAAATACTCCATTTCAGACTGAACAAAAGGTCTCCATTTTGCTGAGGAAGAGAAAAAAATCTATTTAGCCAAAATGGAAACCAGAAAATGTTCACATCAAATTGAACAAAGTATGCGATTTCACCCCAAACCATATTTCTTTCTGCTGGGATCAGTCCATTTTTTTTTCTGTTTTTTTTTTTTTCCCCAATTAATTTAGAAGTAGAACTGAAAAAATGAAGTACAGCAAGGGTGTGGAGAGAAGTGAGAGCTTTTATGAGAGCAACTGATATCTCTGGAAAAAAATGGCAAGCCTTTAGGCACACAAAGCTTGTTTGTTTCTTCCAGCTCTATCAGTTGGTCTCATAAAAGCTATTCTATCTTCTTCCAAAATTCTTCTCACTTATCTCTTTACACTACCCTGGCTGCAAGAATATGTCTACTGAAACAGCAGTTATTAGTACTGTCCAACATATAAAGATGATAGATAAATCTTGAAATTATCATGGCAGCTAGTAAAACCCTATCTACTTGTATAGATTCTTGTGTCTAACCCAAGATTAAAATAGTTCCTTAATCGTAGGAGCAGATAATTAACAGAATACAATGCTATTAACTCTACCACCATCAAGAGCTGAGGTCAGACAGCTCACAGTGTGCCTGTTACTCAGCTGCCCCCTCAGTTCAACAGTACATAGTGCCTTGCCTGGCAGAGATAAGCAGTGAACCTGATCAACTTGTAGAAGTGCCCATCCAAAATATGTCCATGACTGCATTCTTTGATCAGATTGAGCAATAGATTACCAAAACATGAGGATTTTGGAAATGGATGGACATAATAGCCCATAATTATTTTTAGAGAGTAAAACTGGAGAGTGAGAAATAGATGTGATATCTCAGAGAAACTCTTCAAGGTGGCTGTGGTACAAGCTTGTGGAAGAAGTGGGCACTAAAGTGAACATAATGTGAGTGAGCTTGAGAAATGCCCATTATTACATGTGCTCTAACACGTAACAGGATGGCTTCACCAGCTTCTTAACAATATATGTTGCTGGAGAACACCCAACCCAGCTGAGCCTCTTTTCGGAAGACAGCTGGGTGAGGAGGCCTCAGTACTACTCTGCTCAGTGACTTGCCTGAGCTTTTCTTCCCAGATGTCATTCCCCAATACCCTTTTTCTACAGATCCTTATGCTGGTCCTGTTCTGCTGGATGAGAAACTAGCATCTCGCTGTGGCTATGTCCTGTCAGAAGATGTGTGGGGCAACCCCGTTTTTCGTGCATCAGTGCTTGGCTGTCATGTGGCCAATGAGGTAAGACCCAGAGACAGACTGAAAACAATTTCAGACAGTACATCCTCTCCAAAAACACAAGGCTGGGATATTATATGACATTCCAGTGACATGTTTTGAGAACCCAAGAAATAGTCAACTCAAGGAGTTACTATAATGTTGGTGGTGTGTAGAAATGAACAGGCAGTGGCTCTCCAGTATGAGGTTTGTTCAGTGCGACTGACATGGGATTTCCTCTCTCCATGAAATGACACTTAGCTTAATTCTGCTGACTAGCTGCTAGCTCTCAACCCTATCCTTGTTGTTGCTGACTTGCCAGAGAGTTTCTTGAAAGCCTCTCTGGAAAGAAGTAGGCATCTGCTTGAAAAAGCAACATTTGCAGTGTGATTCTGGCAGATCATTTCCTGGCTTAATTTATGTGGTAATGTGCCTGTTAACACATGCCTAGGAACGTAGATCACACACATCTATTAGACCCAGATTTGTCTCATGTAACTTGAGCCATCTAAAAGATAATGTCTAGTCTAAACTAGTTGTTTACACTTCTACAACAGTCAATGGAGAGAAACAGGCATCTCTGGAAGGTGATTCGCACCATCCTAAAATATGTGTAAAAGGTTAGCCTGGATTTCTAATTTCTAAATGATAGTCGAGATGAGTTGTACCCCACCTGACCTAGAAACAGAACATATCAGAACAGAAACCTCATCTCTTGTCCATGTTTAGTCTGGTTGATTCTGGAAGCCTTACAGGAAAAATAAGGTGAAACTTGCTGGGTAGATCTTATGCTAATATGAACACGCAATACACCGTGCTGTGCAATGACCAGAAAATCCAGACTGGAAGTTTCTCTGGAAAGGTTTTGCTTTTTTGTTTGTTTGTTTTTCTGTAGATAACATCCATGTCAGATAGCAGCACAGTCAATGTCTTCACATTTGGCTCCTGTGGAGTTGAAGCACCAAGAGGAGATCTCTTAATGGAACTAGTTAAGATAAACGCTAAACAGCATTTGTAAAACAGATCTAAACTGCCCACATTAAACTAAAAAGCCTAGTAACGTTGTCTCCACAAGAAAACGCACAGCAATCATGAATGAGCGAAACAAGAACCACGTGGTGAGGAAGGTCACATAAGGGTATCTTCCTCTGACTAGCTGCACACTTAGTACTACGGAAAGAACGTTGCTGAGATCCGATCTAACACAAAGTATCTAAGTGCTAAGACAACGTGTGTGGCTCAGGAAGCGCAAACCACTTAAGATAGTATTGTGGAGGAATTGCCACTACAGGTCTCACCTGCTCTTATCCTTGTAAATATGCCCTTACTACTAGCTGCTGAAAACAGGACAGTAGGCTAGATGGTCCTGCACAGCCATTCCTGTGTGCATACGAACATGACCTCCTTCTACATGACCTGCTGAATTTCTACTTCTTATTCCTAGGCAGATGAGCTGTTTTCACTGACTGTGAACATCAGGGTGTCCTCATTTCCAAGCATGAGAGCAGCTACAACCTACACCCACCCTATGCACTGCTCCTATTCTTCCTGGGCTCCAAGAGAAATTGTGTGTGAAGAAAACTACATGGAGGTAAAAACTTTCCCATCAAAACCTGAGTTACATCCAAGCTCCCTGCGAGGCACAGCAACCTCCACAAACACAGAGTTATGTCAGAAGTTGATTTTACACTATGTACCCAGGGCCAATAGCAACAAGTGGCTATTCAGCAGAGAGTCTAACTGTAGATGCTCATTAATAACACATTTACATGTCATTGGTATTTTGCATGCAGTGAAACTCAATTAACTGTAAAGAATGCTGTAATTCATGCCACTACAAGCAAATTGGAAGCCATGCCCTACCTGTTACATTCATGGCAGTACCTTTGTGTTAAAAAGTGCTGCCACATCTGCAAGAATGTCATTTTTTCATTTGAAATAGTAAAATCTAGAGTTTGCAGAGCTGCACCTCTGCTGTGTCACTCACTGGACATCACCTGTGAGACAGAACCTGCTTCCTGCTGGAGGTGTCACGCTTTGGTGTCAGGCTGCTACCAACATCTAAAAGTCAAAGCAGGAATAAGGCACTGAATAAACTGAACTTCACTAATTTTTGTATGCACCTACTGGAGGTAGGACAAAAGCATATTTTCCCTGCTAGAACTTGAGGCTATATTTGCATCTTGCAATACACTTAAATCATGGTACAGATCTCTTGGGATGAGATCAGCTCCCAACTCAATGTCTAGAACTTTCCTCACCCTTCAATTCAATTCTGGTTAGAATTGCACCATAAGCATCTACCTTAGGTATGGGATCCCACACTTTCAGGTATGCAGCCTGCATGGGAGGAGGGAACCCGTCCCCTTAAAGCAAATAGCCTACTTCTCTGTAACTTGAGTGGAGAGACCCAGATGCCTCTGAAAGTCTCCAGAAAGTGATCTAGCCTACAGCTTAACAGATTAAACAGAACTTTTAGTTTACCTGGTTATACACAAAGACAATCACAGAATCACAGAATGGTTCCAGTTGGAAGGGGCCTCCAGAGAACATCTATTCCAAACGTCCCGTGCAAGCACAGTCACCTAAAGCACGTTGCCCAGGAGAGCTCTTCACTCTACTATACATGCATTCCCATAAATACCATGGCTTTAATTTTCATTTTAAGAGCACAGAATTTACAGCAGTCAAGAACCTCTAAAGTCAAGAACCGGGAAACACTTTAATTGCCTCCACTGAATGTAGCTTGCTAAATCCCAACAGACACAGGGGAAGAAATCTGAAAGGTCTCTGCTGTCACGCCTGTGATAATGCTGAAGATTTTTTTTGTTCCCAATCTCCTCTGTGTTCCCAGGTATCAGTGAAGACAGACGTCCCTGCAGTTTCAAATGACTACACTGTAGCATGGATGTCAGCACTGCCAGAGGTACGAAGGAGAGTTTTTCCTAACAGCTCTTAGCCTGCCTCTTCTCTCTAACATCATGAGTCATTCTTGGAGCACAGCTGTGTCCTCATAGAAAAAGAGATATGGCAAAGATGCCATCAAGTACTGAAAAACCTCTCAAGTATTTTTTAGAGCTCAAGACTGCAAAGGGATGTTTAGGTGGGACAGAAGGACCATATGCTTGTAGGAGCTGAGTTCAGAACGAACAAAAGTAGGTGGTTCTTCACATAACCGCTAGTGAATCTGTCAAACTCCTTGCCAAAAGATGCTGTGGCTGCTAAAGTTTGCTTGATCTCAAGGGGATTCAGGAAAAATTCACAGAAGAGAAATCCAGTAAGACATACAAAATACAAAGAAGCCACAAATAGCTCAGGAGTACCTGAGCTGAAAATTGTTTGAGACTGGAAAGTATTAGGGAGAAATATATGCTTGTCCTATTTTTACTCATGCTTCACTTTATCCTTATGTCCACTTTCCTTTTTAGTTATTCCCTCCTGAAGGCCATCATTTGAGAAGAAATACTGTCTAGGACAGACCTCCGTTCTAGACATACCTCTCTTCTTGTCTGTGACACAGTATGGTTATACACCATAAAAGGTAGTCTGTCATTTGGCCTATAGACGGTTCCAGCAATCAACTCACATGAAGACAACCTTTTTTTAACAGCACAGGCAATTTGACCAGAGGGATTTGTTCAAGGCCACCAGTTTAAGTTTCTTCTAGGGCTGCTGTAAGACTCTCTAAAAATGCCTTAAAGAGCTATAGGATTCCTCACCTTTACATACATCAAGAGTGTTACTTGTGGATTAGTGTGCCCAGTGCTACTTCACTTACTCCAGCTCCTAATGGGAAAAGAGATGCTACAGTTTCACAGCTTTTTAAGAGACTTTTGTGTACTTGTATCTTATGTAATTTCTCTCTCTCTTGCAGACTCAAAAAGTTGCATACCAGCTATGGCAACTGATGTTTGTTTCTCCATCAGGGAGAAAGAAAATAATGGTAAGCGATGCAGCAAAACTAGGCTACAGCTTCAATAACACACTATCCCGAGTGTATCTCCGTGCGCCCTACCACAGCAACGAGTCTGATTTCAGCACGGTGAGTTGTTGCTCTCAACCAAACACAAAATCCTGCCATTTCCACTGCCTCTCTATAACATTTATTTTCCTTTACTTTTTTTCCTGCATCCCAACAGGTTAGTGGTGTAAATATGAACATGATCACTTCCACTTCCATGTACAGGCAGCGGTGGCTGCTTTTGCTGATTGACACAACTGTCTCCTGTCCAGTTGGTAAGGATTTCTTCCTTGTTTACCAGAAATAAGTGCCTGAGGAGCTAGTAGGAAACACAGTCTGCACATTTCCGTGCAACCTACATTGCAAGGGAAGAGGTTTACAAGCTGTCTTCTGAGCAGCATGGGCTAAGAGGGTGTTAGCCCCGACAAACATCATCTCTGCTGTGACTCTACGTTACTTGTGTCCCCAGTGCAGTGTTATGCCTTGTCTCGGGTTTCTCAGTGCCTCCTCCCCCCATCATTAGATGCAGAGAACTGGAGACAAATAATTGCTGTACAAGGTCTAGGAACTGTGTCTCACCTTGACTAACCCCACAGCCCTGGCACTCTACTGTCATATAAAAGCATGCAGGGGATGTAGCTCTGTGTCCTTGGGACCCAGCTCGTCTCTTTCTGCGGAGAGGCAGAAGTAGCCTGGCTCTTTAAAAACCAGTAGTAGCTGCACCCTCTGTCTCTCATAGAACAGTAGTAATGAGAACATTTGACGAGGAACTAAGATGTTTTCAGTTGTCAAAATCATGAAGCAAACATGTCAGGGAGAAGGCCCAAATAGGTGGCTCTGTGTCCTGCTCCTCCTTTGAAGTTTGTAAGGCAAAACCCCTGGGACCAGAAGGAGAACAGGGCAAGTAACCGGGAGCACGACTGTCAGTTCTTCTTAATAAATTATTTATTCATCTGAAATTGCTGATTCAAGTCTACTTTGAGTGCCAGGGTTTCTGCAGAACACCCATCAGTCTGCTAACATCCTGTGAGGTGTTTCATTAGCTGTAAATGGCACCCTGCTACAAAGGAGTCAGGGAAAGATAACTTGCAGAATGAAGAATCACTGGCAACTCCAATTGCCTGGCCTTCTGGGACTGTCTATCTAACTCAACAGATGGTACCAGCTTCACTGATACTACGCTAACATGGACTGTGCCAAGTATTATCCCCACATTAGTGCTTCAAGAATCCACCTTTTTGTCTAAATATATTTCCATGGGAGTCAATGGCCGAGTCATAGTAAATCCTGAGGAGAAGAACTACTTACTGGAGCACAACAAGACACACATTGGAGTAACTATCCCTATTGGAGCAGAAGGAGGCAAACTAAAGGTTAGTATGAACCTGTCACAGACTAACACAGTTCAGCAGATGCATCATGGAAGAGGTTTCAAAATCATGATCCAGACAGTGACTGCTGCTTAAACTTCTTAGATACAATGAATATCTGAAAACCTAAATGCGCCTTCTCTTTGTTCTGGAGGCACTTACTTAGAAATTAAGTATCTCTGATTAGAAAACACAATAGAAGCAAGAGGTGTGTTTTCTGGATAATCTATAAACTAAGATGATGCCTTTACCAATAAATTAAGAGTTCTAGGGTTTGTGGGCACTGGAGTTCAATCATCTACTTTTGTTACATTATGAAAACGGCCCCAGCACACTCCTGGCTTATTCACAAATTTTACCTCCTTAGAGCTCCGTATCTGGTGGTGTGTATGGAGTCATTTATAGTATTGACTTGTTCTTGGAGCACACATGGACAGATGCAGACTGGCAAACCACTAAGTATACTGTCATCAAACCCATCGTTACACCTTTTATGCCACAAATACCAACTGTTATCAACAGTAAGTCATTCTTCTCGTTGACTTTTACCAGCGTCTTGCTTTTGCTGAGTTACACATTATTCAATTTGACTTTTGCCACACGCTCAGATTCACCAGAATGTTCTCAATTTGTACTTCCAGTTTGCTAGCCAAAGTCAGGATCCAAGGTTTGATAAACTGAAATAATCCTGTCAGCCTTAACGGATGCTCCAACTATCGTGTCTCTTTATAGGATAAAATGAAAATTATGAGTTGCTGATAAGATCGCACACACTTCTGTCATTTTAACTGACAAACTTTTCTATTGGGTGCTAGCACCCTAAAATAAAGATGTTGCATTGTGTAATTGAGGACAGTGTCCACTGATGCCATCTTCTCCCCAGACTTGTATTCATTACCCTGGGAGCATAATGAAATCACCTTGCCAATCAGTGGTGCAGTAGTGGTGTTTTACAGTATTTTCCAATGCATTAAGACACTAGTCATCTCTGGAGTTATCTGGATAACTGACACCATAGAAAGAAAAAAGTGAGCCTCTTAGGTTACATTATGATAGTTTTTCCATATTTTATGCGGCTGAACTAGATTCTAGATTTCATTATAGGAAAGTCACTCCACATCACAGTGCACCTCTAGAAAGTTACTGAACTCACTTCCTGTAGAGTTGTATGTATTTATTGTTAATCTCCTACAGCTTGAAGCAATTCTCATGTACTCAGAGTATCTCAGATCTGACTAGAACACAAACACTCATTAATCAGAGCCATTACAGAGATGGCTGTTGGCTAAGTTTCCTGGAACTTGAATGCGAGGCCACCCCAACCGTCTTCGTTACTTGATCCGCATCAGCAGTAATGTGATGTTCTTTACCTATTTTTTTTCCCTACAGATACTCTGGCAGAGGAAAGGATATTTAATGTTGCATTTGGACACTTTCTTCCTGATGTCTCTCTGGTGGCAATTGCAATAGGAAATGTGCCATTTACCATAAGACAAGCACAGCACCAGGGGTATAAGATTTATGAAGCTCCTTTTTCTAATACAACGAAAGGATTTATCTTGGAAATCCCTTTTGATGATCGACATGTTCTAAAGGAGGTAAGATACAGCAGGTTACTTTAGCGGGTGACTGGAAGTGGTAGGGCAGTCCCTTTTCAGAATATGTCTCTGGCTTTTATTAACCAACAACTGTTCTACAATTATAGAGCTGTCAATGAGTCTGAGCTCATCTGAAGTAAGATTAGAGGTTTGTATGTCCCCACCTTGCTCTCCCTAGGTCTCTGGGAGAAGTGCAACACCAATTGTGACTAGATGATATGAAATATGACTTCCTTTGGTGTCTGTCAGCATGGCTAATTTTCAAGTGCAACACCCAGCAGGAAGAGGTTTGTCAAATCTCTATTAAACGCTGTCCGTTGAAACAAGAGTGCCTTGGAAAAAGAATCATCAGTTATTGAAATCCCACAAACAGCAGTTACCAACATCCAGTTATTCCTGAATCTATGTTTATGCAGAGCCATTTAAACACCGGCACAGGCCATGCACAGTGCCAGCCGATACAGGTGGACTTAGGCTATTCTAAAGGTAGTTTTCTTAAACTTCAGACCACTTGTACTCTAAATATTTGTAAATAGGATAAACGCATGGAGGGAATTTAACTTCTAATTTCAGTGGGAGGATACTTGACTGCATGTCCTCTATGACTGTCTGAACCAAATCACACAGAGCTGTGATGCTATTTTCTGTTGTAAGGGACAACATTGTGAACCCTCAGGATTAGGACTTGCGCAAATAATTTTCAAGCTGCAGTCAAACCACAGTTAAAATGCATCAAGGGTCAAAGCAATCCAAAAAAATTCAAAGTTAATTACTTATTTCAGGTTGAACAGCAGGTTTTGTTTTGGGGCACTTTTGCTTAAGTAAATGAGGATGTTGAGAGAGGTCTCTCATGGCATCTCCTCATACCTTCTGCCTTTCTGGTTACTCACTCTCCCGGGTTCAGACCCGTGCTCTGAGAAAAGAATACAGATGTGGAGCCAGATCTACCTCAACAAGCTTTTTCACTGCTGGGGTATTGAGGAAATACCACTGTGCTCACTTTTGCCTCCATTTTTTGAATACGCACTACATTCACACTTACGTTAACTGAAAAAATGTTTTTGGAGACTGAGCTATTTGCTGGGGAGAGGAGGGTGTTACAATAATTACATAGTGCTGCTCAGGATATACATTCCTGTCTGCTGGAAGCCATTGCTACTACAGCCTTACACCTCTCTCTCTCTTTCAGTACGTGAATAAAAATGAAACTAAATATACCCTTCTTCTTAACTACACTTTAAGTGTGGGTCCAGAGATGACACTCTATTATCATTCAGCAGAGATGGAATGTATAATTGCTGATATCGGTAAGCTTTCCTCTGACATTAACTGGCTTGCATTAACAGCATGAATCAGTTTTTCATTGAATTCATTGAGAACGCAGCTAGGCTAAGGATGAAAGGTTTTGGGAAAATCCTATCCTTCAATAGTTTGTTACTGGCAACATAGCCAACTTGCTGTTTTCTGATGGCAGCTCTCTCGCCTACTGGCAAGGCAGTCTGCCCTTGAGACACTGAGAGTAATAAAAGCTGGTGTGTAAAAGGATCTGGCTAGCAAACTCGGCAAACAAGATGCCTCATAACTTGAACATACATCCACTGGCAAAACTCTCAGACATCGCTGAGAGTTTCAGTTTGTCCTCAAATGCAATTCTGCCTCTTGTGACAAGCTCAACCGGCTTAAATAAATTTCTTTAACTCCAAGGACAGCACTTCTCTCAGGAGACAGTCATCTACTAAAAGTTGCACTTACCAGGTTAGTGGAACAGTCAGGAGCTATGGTTCGTATTTTCTCAAACTACTTAGATTTTTGGATGCCATGAGGGTTACAGAGTCTCCTCATTTTATCTTCAAAACAGCTCCGGGTTCAACCCAGAGAAGGCTGATGAAAAATATATTTACATACATAGTTCAGCTTGTCTTACCGAAACAGGGAGTATTCCTAGAAACAAGCTGGCTAAACCATTGCTAAACCATAAGGATTCTGATGCCTCTGATTGTGAACCACTACATCCACAACATACCCAAAAGACTACAGATGATGCCGGTATGCACATAACAACTCTGCTGCGGTGCCAAAGCAAAATTCACCTGTGATAGAAACCTGTACCTTAGCCAAACAACATTGCTCAAACTCTCATTCATTGCTTACTCTTCATCTCACCTTCTTTCCACAGAACTACCAGAAGCAGTTGGTTACTGTGATAAAGAAAACTTGTATCTAGCCATTCCTATTTTAGGCCTGCACCAGTACTGGAACCTATATATTGGTAACAAACTTCTGAACCGGCATACTGCACTTACAAATGGGTATTCTGCAGCTACCAATTCTACCCACCTCATCTTGCAAATACCTTTGTTTGCTATAGGAGTTATCTATGAGGTAAATAAACTCTATCATACTGCCTTCTTTAAAGCATAAAGTACTATTTGCTCATAGATTATCCTACGGTCACAGTTCATAGTGCTGTACTACGTATATTAGAACACCTCAACAAGGAATGACTCCATGTAAGTGCAAGTAGGGCAAGAGGTATCAGATACGCACCCTTCTGGAAATGCCATGCATTATGCAATCTGTAGTGCTAGGTTGTCTCTAAAGGATATGCACCAAGTCCTCAAAAACAAACTCCCCAGTATTTTTAGTATGATGAGACAAAATGCCCCATCTATACTGAGCCAGAAACAATATTTCAGTATAGCCTTTCTGAAAGAAGCTCTTTTAAAGCTTCTACCTTTTTTTTTAGAAATGCTATAACATGGCAGGGAAAATTGATGCTGGAATAAATATCTGAACCATTCTACAATAATAAGCTAAAACTTTTCTCTCTGTGACAATGACCAATTAATTTATACCAGAAAACTCCTGCCTCCATGTTGCATCAGGCTTCAGTCTTCACTCTGACTTAACTCTTGTGACTTGTTAGCATTTAAAGTAGCACAAGCCAAAGAGCTGGATTTTGTACATACGGATCAATAACATACTTTGACTGGAGACCTCTTCCCTCTCTTCCTTCACAGGAAGTGTCCTTTCAGAAAATCAAAGCAAGGTTTGATGTTACCCTAAAGAAAGTAAGAACTTTGGAAACCTTGCAGATATTCTCCGTTAGCTGCAATTTCAATTCTTCAACATTTATAGGTAAGTTGTACAAGTGATTGATCAGTAAAAAGATCTGCTGTTCTTTCCTTGAGCTTACGACCAACTCTGATTTTCTCAGTATGCCACCCAGATGGAACTATAATGATATCTGCCCAAATGAAGACAGTTCCTGCTATTGATATGAGTAAAACCAAACTAAGGGATAGCTCTTGCAAGCCTAAAGAGTATAATAAAGGACATGCCTTCTTCAAGTTCCATGTCACTACCTGTGGCACTTCAGTAAGGGTAAGGCCATGGCAAGAGCAAATACATCTGCAGGAAGCCTCTGTCTCTCCCACATTTTCTCTTTTGCTCCCCTACCCCATCTCCTGGGAATATTCAGTTTTTAATGAGCTTCTCATACACACAGTTTGAAGGTGATCACATTATTTATGAAAATGAAATATCTTATGAGAAAGAAACTCTCCCAGGGCAGAGCCTGCACACAATCACAAGAGATCCAGACTACAGGTAGGAAACTGCCTGTCTCTGCTCACTGAAAACACTTGATTTGCTACAGCTGCTGGAAAATGAACACTAAAATTAACCTTTTTTCCTGTTATAGATTAACAGTCTTGTGCTACTACCGAGTGAAAGAGACGCTGATGCTAGGTGCCTTCACTAGTGATCCATCCACACACACATCACCTCCGTTTGGCTCGGGTACGGTGCTGCCAAGATCAAATATTGCAGGTGGGCAATTCTCCTCCTCCATTTTGAAACCTGTGCGACTCTCTCAGTTGTAAGCTCCCTCTTTTAAGACTTGGCCTGCGTCCTGCTAAAGAACCTCACAAACCTTTTCTTATCTGCAGTATACAGAAGGATAAGACAAGCCCTGAATGCAGTTTCAAGGGTGTCAAAAGGTAAGTTTCCTTCCAGGAAAATCACAAAAATTCCCAAATATGTTTTAATTTAAATAAAATTAAATAATAGCAAAATCCTCTGATGTTTTCTTAAGATGGATCTTTCATGAAATTCTATGAACCAAACATGGCAATACTCAGAAGATCCTTGGAGCCTGTGTTTCTCGAGGTTGAGCTGAAAGATGAAAGCCCTGAAGCAGAATTATACCTGGACAATTGCTGGGTGACTGGTTCTCTAGACTTCAACAGCACCCCAAGATGGAATATCACTGTGGACGGGCAAGTAGTTATCGAATGACCAATGTGTGCACTGCAGAAACCCTGATTTCTTCTAGATCTGTTAATCTGTTCTCTCAAATAGGTGTGAGATTAACAGCAACGCGTTTGTTGTGGAGTTCTGTCCAGTAACTGTTAGCAGCAGAGTGAAACATCCTTCTCATTTTAAAAGGCTAGCAGTAAGGACCCTGACACATCCATTGGAACAGGTAAGACTAAGAGAAAGGATGACCTAGCATTCATGGGCCCTACTCTGTGAACTTCTCTTTGCAGAAGTATCGGTTAAGACTGAGCCAGACTGCCTTAAAAATAGCCAGTTTAAGCACCTCACAGACTTAAGATCGAATCAGTGGACAGCCCAAGTAGCCTGACTGGTATGCAGCTTTAATTTAGTTCTCTTAACACAGGCATAGTTTCAGTGATTTAAGATTGGACTGACTGGAGTAAACAAAAGAGTTTGGTATGTAAATACGATTTTTATGTGGTGTTTCTGACTTTTTATAGGGTCAGATTCATAGCACGCAAAATGTCTGGCACAAAAAAGTCAACTAATGCACCATAGCATCCACAGGAAATTCAGCTCAGCTGTCTCCTATCTATCCTAGGCAGTCAACCACCTCCTCAGACACCTGCCCAGTGGGAAAGGACGCAAAGGCCTGTGGGTTGGGCCTCATGTTTTTGAGGTTACGTCTTCCTCTAACAGGTCTAAGACGAGAAAATAAAACAGAGGACAGTCAACTGAGAGTGCTTTGTTCCCACTGTATCCCAATTAAGCACACTCCAGCACATGTACTGATACGAGCCATGGTAGTACCCCTGCCTGAGTAGCTAAAGTAACCACATCATTTTTTTGACTTGGCCCTTAAGGAGTTCAACTCATGAACTTGCTAGAAATGAACGTGATGCAATTTTGGCACATGCTGCTTCCTAAGTGGGCAGCTGCATCTAGCACCAGATTGAGTTTCTGTCTAGCTTTGATATGTAGCCTCACTGCAGCTCATGAGGTTTTAACTTCTCCTGTCTCAGCCTCTCAGTTACCAAACTGCCTGAGGGCTTCTTTGACACCAAATTTGAAATGCAAGGCAGGTTCAGCTAGAAGGTGCCACATGGAAGTCTTCAGACAAGCTTAAGTCTAGTCACTGTAACTTCTGCAAAAGGCAGACAAAAGACAAAGCAATGCTCTGCAAGGGGAGGATTTTATATGGACCAAGTGGTATTTTATTTTCTTCTCAGGTGTATGTGCACTGTGCAGTGGCAGTCTGCTCTCCTACCAACATATTACATGGCAGCCCCTGCAGAGGACAGTGCAGCTCAAGCAAGGAGAGGAGGGGTAGGTGTTTAGGAGAGAAAGAAGCATTGCAAAACACGCCTGGCCTGTTGTTTTTAAGGAATTTAGGAACCCTGGTTTTGGGCACCTGAAACACCGTGAACATGCGCTTTGTAACATCACCCTTAGCTTATCACCTTAATACATTAACACTTAGAGTACAGAATTTCTGTATCCTTGAAAAACTACCCGAATGCACTGTGTGTCATTCTCAGCCTTTCCAGGTCGCCACTCGGTCACTCTCCAGGGCTACGTACTTGCTGGACCAGTCTGGATTGTTGATCCAGCTCTAAGATGAAGCATGTAAATCAAAGTTGGTAAGAACCCTAGGCTTTGTGCATGAACCTAGAGAGTGCTTTATGGCACAAGCGATACATAGCCTTGCTCTTCAAGACCTTAGAACAATTGGTTCTGGGACACTGTCTTCTATCTGGGGCCTGCTGCCTTTCCAAAGCATTTGGAGTCACAGGCACAAACTAGGGAACAGGCAGGGTTTGGGGTTTCCTGGTCTAAGCTTGAGCCCACAAGACAGCAAACAAGGAGAGCTACCTGCCAGGCCAAACACAGGTGGCATGGCTCTGGAGAAAACATCAGCAGGGGACGGGGCATGCTGGAGTTGGGTTGCAGCAGGCAGTTTTGGAACCAGCTGTTATTTCAACAGTTTTTCCACTGGACTGGAGCAAACTGCCCACAGCAGTTATCACCACTCAATTGAAAGAAAAATATATGCAGAATATTAAAAACAAACACTAAGGCACACATCACTGCCATATTCCAAATTCTTCTGAAGGGTCTAAATACCCCAAACTGTTAGCATTTTATCTGTCTTTGGAGGACCACAGCTATACAGCTGTGTGCCCCATCCTCACTCCTCACTTCTCTGTGTATGTCTCCAACAGCACCTGAAAGCTCTGCTGTGCTGGTTACTTTCTAAGTAGTGCGACTGGACACAAGTTACCTCTTTCAGCTACTACCAGAACTATCTTTCTTGCAATGAAGAGACCAGGCTGTGGGACTCCAGACAGCACCACAGCACTAAAAAGGGCTAGGGTCTGCTAACAAGATTAGTAAATGTTCTAACCTGTTGCCTCTATGAAGTGGCTACAACAGAAAGCTTACCAGAAAATAACCTAAGTCTGCAAAATAACGTTTCCTTTCTCTTCCAGCTGTTGAAATATGGACTTGTTGACCACTAGAATTACCCCAACCCTGACATGGCTGCTTCTTTCAGTACTTCATAAGGTGACTGCCAATCCACCCAACTGAATATAAAGTGCAAATCTGAAAAGTCAAATAAAAGTACATATGAAGGCACGTAAGTGCACAACATCTTGCTAGTCTATAATAGCAATCATCTGGTATACTAACACTGGCTCTGAAGAGTCAAGCAATCTCTTCACTCAGGGCCTCTAACACATAAAATATAACATTATCCTTTTTTTCCCCCCACATTAATGCAGACTTCTGGTTACAAAATTGCATCTAGCACTGACCTGACCTTCTTGCAAACCTATTAATCTTTTGCTTTCTTCTAACCTGCTCATGTATGGAAAAGGCTAATTACAAATTGGAAGGGGCCAGACACTCTAAAATCAGTAAAAAGGACAAATTACCTGGCATTTTATTTTCTGTGCCCACCAAATTTTTTAAAAGAGAATAAAAATTAAAAAGGTTATTTATCTACAGATCAAGGATAAACCAGACACATTCCCAGCTGCAGATCACTCTCAGAATGTACCTACACAGTAACTGAAGTTGTGACTGTAGCGTAGCAGAGCATATTGAGCAGCCATTCAACAGCAGTGAAGATGGAGAACTTGCACAGCTGTCAGTTCAAGCTAATAATGCACACAGGCCCAGAAACTCACATGGGTACAGCTTGTAGAATTTGTATCTTCACAGGCTGACTAGATTACACATGCTGATTAGTGCCTGGCCTCCCAAAACGCCTGGCCTCCCAAAACCTGCAGCCAAGCCTGTGAATGTCTGAATAAATGTAGTCTTAGAGCTATATCTCCTGAAGGACTAAGTCACATAAACGGGAATCAGATGGTACATCCCAAGCAACCCCCATCAGCTGCAGCCTGGGAGACACCTTTCTCTCTGCTGTATGAGCAGTGCACTCTACTGGCTGGTGCTAACACTGCAGTGTCAAGCAAGCCTGCTGCTTCCTCACATTTTCCAAGATGGCACATTCTCCATTTTTAGTGCTAACAGTCACAAACTGACTGTAACAAGACTTTCTATTACTCTAAAAGGCAGTTTGAAAACAGTAACTAAGAAACAAACGATCTGTAAATTGGTATGAAGGCTAAATAATATCTGTATGCTAGCCCCTCTTTTCCTAGTGCTCATAGGACACTGTCTAGCTCCACACAAATGAGCATCAGGTCTGGAGTTGCATCACTAAGGTTCACTCACCTGGGCTCTTGCAGAGGAGATTCAGCTAAACTGCTCTGCAGCACATGGAATACCCTTGGTCTTTCAATTTTGTCCTGGCAAGCCAGAAACGAGTTCAGCAGCGTTCTATACCTCTCCACCCAACATCACGTAGGTGGCAAGACCCTTCTCTCCCTGATTTCCATAGCATTTCAATTTCCAGCATTCCTACAGACCAGCCAGAGAAATTTCAGCCTTGGTTGCCTGCTCCTAGTTTGGTTGCTCTTCTTGCTAAACCATTTCTTTTACACTCAGTTACACTGGCTTAGGCACTCATTGTTTAGCTTTGAGGGCACGTCTTTCCCACGCTGTGATTCTGTCATGGTACTGGCATGGCACATTGCTCAGCCTCTGAAGACTATTCTGAAATTACTCCCTCTTCTCAGGCACTGCAGATGCAGCTTCAGCATCTAACTCATGTCCTAGATTCCAGTGCAGGCCTATGGGCTTAAACTCTTTCTTAGCTTTGGCCCTCAGAAACTACTTGGTCATGCTACTATGGTTGCAAGAGACTTTTATTCAACCAGTATAGAGAAAAGGCATTATGGAGATGTGAAAGACACATCAAATATGAAGTAACAGGCACACAAGAGTTTGCATACAAGCTTGAAAAATCATTGAACTTTGGATCACCCTTCTTCACAGGAATACAGTGAATACAGTGAACCTGACTTGAAAGCTACTGTTGCAGTGTTTGTCTATGGCAGCGATAAAATAACTTTTTCTTCCTGGGAGATGAAGTTGTCTGTCAGGTGCATTTAGCAGACCACATTTTATTGTACAGCACAAAGATACGAACAATGAAAAATCTGGTCACCAGAAGCTGTTAACTGCATCCAATCCCTGCTCATCGACAGGGATCCTACAAGGAAAAGTTTGGAAACACCTAAGCTTCAGACACGCTACAGTTCAACCCAGATAACCACAATACACTACTAGATGGGCCTCCACCTTGACCTGACCCGACAGCAAACTTCTCTCAGCGCCAGGATGAGGCTGAATCTGTTCTGCAGACCCAGCATCTGCCTCTACTAAAAGGTGATCCTAGAACAAAGCAGCTCCAGGGAACTGCTGCAGTGAGAGGACTGCCTTTAAGATAAGGATTGCTACAGATAATGAAAGCAGTGACATTAATATAGGAATTGCCAGAATCCATTGGATCTGACCAGGTCCTGTGGCAGCACCAAATGGAAAGCACAAGAGAAGAACGAAATTGCAGAATAATCTACTCAAATATAAAAATGTCATTCTCCTACTAGTAGTCTTAAATTTTGCTCGTCTTTTTTGCCTCATTCTGAACTTCTTTCTTTCTGATAGTCCAAGGACAGCAGTGCCTGCATAGCTAAGCTGGATACAAAGGTGTTAATTCCCCACATGTTGGAATAGCGTATCTTTCACTACTTATTTACTTTTTATTAAGGCCATCTATTAAAATGGGATAGTGCATATGCAGTCGTCAGTTCTAACAGCCAAAGATTTTTAACACTGACTTACCACTGTGGTCCATTCACAGAGAAAAGCCTATGGAATACAAGTTTCTTGTCACTTGAAAAGCCCTTTTCCTCTTCAATGTGCCGCAGCTTTCCCTTCAGAATGACTCTCCTTGTTCTCCATAGTGCATGTCAAACAGTGCTGTATGAGATGTTTTACATTTCTCATCCTGTTCTGTTGCCCTGCTTTTGGGCTGCTAGCCCATACTTTTGTCGTATTTTCCTACCTTTCTTTAAAAGCGAGTGAAAGGCCCTGCAACACTGTGGAATGGACAAGCGGTGCAACTCCTCCTCCTGTGTTTCGGCAGAAGGAAAAATGGAGTACTAGGAGAAAATATAGGACGATAACGTTACTTGTTGCCAGGCTCTCTGAACAAGTAAGATCTTAGAAAGAGACTGTTGTTCCAGACACCGAAGGGAAAAACCATTCTGAATGCACTGAGGAAATCAAGTGCTTTTTGTAAGTGTAGAGATAGCAAATAATTGGATGAGAATACTGTTACTTGTTGCCAGGATAATCCCAGCCATGAGGAACAAACTGAATGAAGGGGCTGACAGCAAAGCACTGTCTGAAGGAGAGTGACAATGTGCTCTGGAGAGTAGGCTTATAGGTATGAAACTTTGGGAAAGGGGTCACGAATTATTCATATCTGCAGCATTTCTGGCCTAGATGAAGAGTCAGTCAATGCATATGAGTAGCAACCACCTGCTGGATTTACTAGTACAGCACCATGACAAGTGAACGCTCAGCAAGGGCAATGGAGCAGGAAGTCAGAACTGATGCAGATGCTCTACAGTGGTTTATAATTTTCAGGCAAAGATAACTTCTAAAGACGAGTGAAAGTGAAAAGCCACAGTACCTCTATACTGCAAGTGTCCAAAGTACACAACTCGAGCTCCTTTTACAAGCCGATTGTCTTGAGTTTCATAAGGAAACACTACTTAAGTATAATTTTACAACTCTCCATTATGCTTTTGATTGTTAATGGATTACAAATAGTAAACCTTGAAGGAAAAGTTAATAAACATATCCCCCCCTTAAGTTTTTTGACATCAATAATTACATTTTATGATAACCTTCCAACAGTCTTGGGAGACTGAGACCATCACACTGCACTATTTAATAATTTCAGATTAGGCTTGGTTGTGATAGAAACCCTAACCAAGTAACTTGTGTGCATCTGAGAAAGGAAAATGTGTGTAAGAATTTTATTGGCTGAAACTGCCTTGAAATAATTCCAAATTACACCAAAACGTACCACAACAATTCATTCTTTTACAGGAGAGAAAAGGAAACACTGTGGAGAATCTGCTATAAAATTGCTCCGAATTCAGTGAACTATTCCTGTGCTGACATGGGATATGTTAGAAAGGAGCAACACTAATAAAATGACATGAGCTGGGAAGTACGATGAGTATTACTACCAGAATCCTTGTTTTGTTTTCCGAAATATTTCATATTAATCTTCGATTTTTATCTATAGGCTATCATTTAAACAGTACTCTGTGCAGAGCCACATCTGTGATCTTTCTTCTCAACTTTCCAACTGTTTTCCTCTCAGAGTGCAACTTCTCAGAGTTCAGATTCAACTGTTTATAACGTCCTCTATGTCTTCATGGCATGCTATGTCAGGGACACACTTAGTTCTAGTTCATCATCTCATCATCAAAAAAGAGCTGGTATGATTTCTCAATTTTTGAGACTGAGGTGGCATGAAAAATATAAGTCCTTAAATTATTAATATGTCTTGGAGACAGAGCATTAAGATATAAAAATGGAAGCAGAGCAAAAGCTCAGTATACACAGAAAAGGCCAAAATTAAACCTCAGAACATCTGGTCATTAATAAATTCTAATATGCATCATAGGTATATAACTTGAGAACTATTGCATACCAAGTATCACAGAGCACTAAAGGAAAATGCAGCATTTTGTCAGCGCTAGGCCCCAAATTTGTTCATTCCAACTGTTGCAGCATTTCAAAGCTGAAAGCGATCTCTGGGGATGCTGGGGAACCACACAAAGAATGCATAGTAATTCATACGCTAAATTCTCTTCTTATGATTTACTCAAAGGGTTCCACCATTTGCAGTGAATGCAACTGCACTTGTGTATGCTCCAGGATCATCCATGAAGAAACTCACCGTAAGAAGCAAAATTTTCATTGGCATCATTTATTAAAAAAAAAAAAAAAGTATATCCTAATGCTCGCACATGCAACCAAGAAGTATTTCTTTCAGGAGAATTTTTATTCCCATGAACAATACCATGGTGTTTCTTATCCATTGTGTTTAGATTTCAGCAGTTGTTTCTCCTATTACGTAAGAAATAAGACTACTTGGATATTCACAGCCTGTTGAATCAGACAGATTTCATAATACATTTTTGTGCAATTGATCTTTTCAATAAAGAGAGAAAGCCACAACTCCTACTGTGAATAGCTCAACTGCATTCCCTACCATAAGGTCTCTACAGATAATCATGAGATTAAAAGTGCGTATCATTTTATTTATTCAATTATTAATCTCTGCTCTGTTCGATACTCTCTCTCAAAAAAAAAAAAAAGATATGTTCAGTTCCTAGCTGCTTATGCAACATAAAAACTACTTTTAGAAGTGAATTAACCTCCAAAGAACTGAATTCTTATACCACATTCCTTATGCACAGTACAAATGGCTTTGCCCAAAAAAGGCTCAGGTTTTTGTTAATATTTCTTAATAGAGAAATTATGTACGAAGAGTTTTCTAAAACTCCAGACTCAAGTATTTCTATATTTTGTTTTATACATTTTTCCCATGAAAGACAATTTAAATTTATCTGTGAAAGAGTACAGAAACACTGTTGTAGTAAGAGGACTACCTACTTCATTATCTGTTACTGAGCTGCCAACTGCTTTAGATAGAGTACTTCAGTACAGAATGGCCAGTGTCTTAGGTCTACCATTATGCTTTTCCTCTACACTGATACCCCAAACGTTTTTTTTTTTCTTCGCAATTATAATACATCTCTTAACTTATTTACCCAAGAATGAGGTTTCTTCAGTAAAGCATAACAGATGCAAATGATCTTGTGTTTCATCCATCAATACTAGAAATCAGTAAAACATTTTTACACCACTAGCTGCATTTTCAATAAGCTCTCTTTTGTTTTTCTTCTTTATCAAGAATAGCCTGGTTTAGACTCAACGCAGCATCTTCAAACTGAGGGTTTAACTCTAACACTTTCCTGAAATCTTTCATGGCCTCATCAAAGCATCCTGTCCCAAAAAAAAGGAGAAAGAATTATTTCTCAGTAACTGCTCAATCTCACAAATCACAACTAAGAATGACTTCTAATTCTTTCACTAACAAAAAGTATCCACTGTACTTACTGGACCCACTATAACATTTGGTTTCTCCAGAGGTCCAAATGTGAGTTGAAGGTCTTTAGAGCCTGAGTGCTCACTTTTGCACTTACAGTGGGACATAAGGCAGAATTCAGGTAATTTATTCCAAGAGAAAGAGCCAACTAACAGCAACTAACTAACAGTAGGGCTGCTTTAAACCTAGAAAGAAGGCATGCTGCTTTCCAGCTGCTGCTCTGGGTCAGGCTCTTTTCTTCTAGTGCTCTCCCCCTCTAACCCCTCAGCTTCTGGATCTTGACCATGCAACAGCCTAGCTCCAGCAAAAGGGGCAGGAGTCTCATTTCCTTAATGGCATATTCAAAACTTGGGCAGCAAAGTCCACAGAGACGTCTGATTGATAACCCACTGCAATTGAGAAGGCTGCACTCACTGCTACTGCACCTGCTTAAGAAATGCTTTATCTTAGATTTAATGGTAATTTTCTGCATTTCCAAGTTTTAATACAATGGAAATTTTTACAAACAAAAAATTAAAAATGCATTTTTCTCCTACTGAATATCATCATTTCAAATGCCACAAAAGCATAACTGCAAACAGGGATATCTAACTGTGTAAGCAGGACAGACCTCTAGCTAGAACACCTCATAATGACTTGAGAAAGATCTCTCTCTCTCTCTGATTGCATCACTTATTTCTTTCCCTTGCCTGCACCAGGCAGGTCCCTCCCTCTGTAAAAATGGGGAAATTACTTCCAAGCTTCAGGTGGCTCTTGGGACAGAAAAGCTCTCAGGGCTACTAATCAGCCGTGTAAGGGTTTCCCTCCTTTTCCTTGCACTTCACGGCCGACAGTCCGAGAAGGACCTGAGACCGGGGCAGGTGGGCAGACATGAGCAGCCTGCTCTCACGTGCCAGTGCCGGTGCCGGTGCCAAGG